GATCTCTCCAGTGCTATAAGCACCATTTTTCAATAAATGAATGTAATTTTGCTAGTATTATATGCACCACTTTCAAAGGAAGCTTTTAAGCCCCATGACAATGATAGGAAAGCTCCTAACTCCTATTCTCCAAAGAATCTATAATCACTTAGAAATTTTTAAGTATAGATTCATTATTTTTAAGTTCCCACTAACCAGTTAGAAATTCTTCAAGTATGGGATCAATGCTTGATTTGTTTGAAGATAGAAATTCATCCAAAGCAAGTTGATTTACTTTAATGGGTTCCCCCCAGCTATTTAGAAATATTTCTAAGTTTATACCCTTTTCCCCATGTTTTTCCCTTACCTTACAGGGAAATTTTTGAATTATAACTTGTTTTATGCCCTTCCACACAAGTTGTCTAATATATCATCTAAAGTTTCCACCCTTTTTTTCATCATGACAACTAAGTATTTTTACAAGTTTTTGCGTATCAATATCACAAAGATTTGGAGGGCTACTAATAAACCTATTTTTATCAAGCTTAAAAAAACCCTTATAACCCTATTTTTTTTTATTACGTTTAAGAAAATTAGCATACCTCAAGTAGGGGTTTAGTAGTGTGTCAAACCCCAGGCATGTTGGTTTTGGCACTAGCCACACCTAGCTACTTTTTGGGCTTGGTAGTGTACTAAACCCAGCACTTGGACTTGATATTCAACCAAGTTCAAAGTAATATGGATCTCGCAAATATGTCAGACTCAATGCACTTAAACTCTGCAGTTATCCAAGTTCAAGGTAATGTGGGTCTGGCAAACATATTGGACTCAAGACACTTGAACTTGGCAATTAGTCAAGTCTAAGACAATGACCATCCTCAATTGGGTCTAACCTTAAAAACAAGCTCGACTTCCATAGAAGCTAATTTTGGCATCTTAAACTCTAAATCTTTACCATCTTTTTAGCTATATAAACATCCTCCAAGGACCCATCATATTCTCATCAAACATTAATACAAGTGTAAGTGATATTTATCCCTAATTAGATGTTATCAAGGTAATTACACTGTAAGCTCTCCACTTCATAAAAAAATAGGACTTATGGACTATAAATACACCATGAGATTTTCATAACAAAGGTTCATGATATTCATTTTCTACTACACATATATTTTTAAAGCATCTTTCTCTAGAATATTCTTGTATTTTCTCTCTTTAAAAATATATTTATTTAAACATCAAATAGTCCTCACCTCTACTAAAAAGAACCTTTTGTAAGTACTAGTCATGAGCAGCTTTGGCTAACAAAGAATCAAGTATAAGTTATCAGTTAGCTTAACTAGAGATAATAAAGGAAATTGTTAAGACCAATTAATTAATCAAGTCCAACCTAAAAGCTTTATTCCCACACTAAGTGGATTTTTAGGATATCATCAAGACCTGGACTTTTCTTCTCCTTTTCCTACTAGGATACTCTTTTTTTCTCTTTGTCTAATTGTTGCTTAGAAAATTACTAGTTGTCAACTTAATGTCACTGCAAAACCAACTCCCACAAGGAATTTCTATTGGATACTTCCTTTTCCACCAACCTTGTTGCTGCTAATTATTGGCATGCAAGGGATTTCATTGTTATATCTTTTACTGTAAGGCAAAAGTCTTTTTTTTTTTTTAATAAAATGTTACATTCTATAAGCGTTGAGTCATAGATAAATTTAAAAGTAATA